ACAAACCTGTTTGTTCTCCTAGCAGTCCATGGTATATTCAACACTCTTCTCCAGCACCACAGCTCAAAGACATCAATTCCCTTTCTATCATCCCTAGTCACTGTCTATCCAACTCTATGACGCACAGCATGCAATTGCAAAGACTAAAGCCTGGATCAGGCACACCATAGTCTCCAGCCTAACGTTGTTGCTCTTCAGTACTCTGGAGAGGTCCCTGACAGCTAACTTTCCCAACGCAATTCATCTCTTGATTTCCTGGCTGCTGGTACCAAGAGTGCTGATTGTGGAACCAAGAAAACTACAACTGTTAACAATCTCAATCTCTTCAGCATCCATAATGCTGCTGCCAATTGGCCCAGTGGTGAGAATCCTTGTTTTCTTGATGTTGAGCTTCAATCCATATTGAAGGCTGCAGTCGTTGACCTTCTGTAGCAAGCGCTTCAGGTCCTCCTCCGTATCAGCAAGCAGGATTGTGTCATCTGCATAACACAGGTTGTGGATGATGTCTTCCAAATCTGATGCCACCTTCCTCCTCGTACAGCCTAGTGTCCAGGATGATCTGTTTTGCATACAGACTGCAAAGATATGGAGACAGAATACATCCTGCATACACCCTTCCCGATTTTAAACCATGCAGTGTCTCCTTGCTCTGTTCTGACGACTGCCTTTTGGTTCAAGGATAGGTTTCGCATAAGCACAATCGAATGTTCTGGGATTCCCATTTTTGTCAGGGTCAACCAGTTTGTTGTGATCCACACACTCAAAAGCCTTTGCATAGTCAACGAAACACAGACATTCCTCTGGTACTCTCTGCTTTCTGCTAAGGTCCATTTATTATTAGCTATAATATCCCTGGTACCACGGCCTCTTCTAAATCCAGCCTGCACATCTGGCAGTTGTGTTACTCCAGTAGTTTTTGGATCATTTTCAGCAGACTCTTGCTTACGTGTGACATGAATGATGTTGTTCAATAATTTTCACACTGTTGGATCCCCATTCTTTGCAATGGGAACAAATATCGATCTCTTCCAGTCAGCTGGCCGGGTAGGCAGTTCAAATCTAACAGATGCTTCAGAGGAGAAATACAGGCAATCTCTTCCCATGTGATTTACAGCCTCTGAAAACCTGGAGGAGGGTCAGCAGTGATTCGGTTCTGAATCTATGACAGTGAGTCTGAGATGGTGCTTTTTCCAAATTATGAAAAGATAAGGAAAAGAAACAAAAAAAAACCCTCAAAAAGAAAACAAAAGATAAAGAAAGCCTTACGGAACCATTCTTGGATGGTTTCTAGGAACGGGAAGGGTGGGAGAGGTGAGTGAAGATATTGTCGCAACTTTATTACTATTATTTGCTGTTGGGCTGGAACTGACTCATTGCTGACTCACAGTGAGTTTTCAGAGACTGTAAATGACACAATAGTAGACTGTCGATCTTTTTCACACGGGGCAGATGGGATTTGAACTTTGTGCCTCTTGGCTGGCAGCACAGCTCCTTACCACTAGACCACCAGAGCTCCACTAATTATCTATTAGCCTATTGCTAATTAAAAAACCCAGATGCTAAAAAACTCCAAGAGGAACAATACTTGCTCTCGCTAACGGATGTGTCACCCAGTTAAGGACTGGTCTCTGCATGCCACAAGGACTTCTTCCCCTGAGATCTTCTGAGTCTTCCAACCGTCGTATAACCTTCCTTTCCCTCGCCTTGTCTCCTAACCCCCTGCAGAGTCTCCAACAGGCCCCCACACACCCTTCTAGACTGCTCCCCACATCTGTCCCCCACCACAGGCAGCAGAAAACTACAGAGCCTGCTCTGACCGCTCCCTCTGTGACATCTCTCACAGTATCACAAACTGAACTGTCGCCCCAAACACGTGTATGTAAATAATGTCATGTAAAGCCGATTAGAGAGGACGAAGGGTGGGATGTCTGTGTTCTGTGCCACGGGAACAGACTCACGGCTGACCCACCAGTGCGTTTTCAGAGGTGGCATGTCACATAGGAGACTGTCTATACTTCTCCCATGGAGCAGCGGGTGGATTCGTATACCTTTGGGCTGGCAGGCCAATTCCTTTCCCACCAGGCCACCAGAGTCCCTCCTAAGGGTGAGATGCAACACCCAGGCCCCATCCAAGCCACCATCATCGGTCCCTGAGGTGTGGCCTATAAAATACTTCATCTTGAAAGAGATAAAAAAGGGGGGTGGGGGAAGGCTGAGGGGCAGGAGGGGAGAGTAATTTTGAATGAGTGACAACAAAAAGGGTTACATTAGACATTTTCATTAACCAATTACACTAATCAAGGGCAATTAGTGTTCTAAAACAAAACGTGTATGAAGGTCTGATCTGGCAGCTTTCAAACAAAATGTTGAAAAAGAACTAACAAAAGAGGAAGAGAGCCTTAGCCACCACTAAGACAGGAAGAGCTGGGACTAGAAGGCATCCTTTCAACCCGTTCCCTGTGCTGGGAAACTCCTCAAGTCAGGGGAAGAATATGACACAGAAATTTCTGAGGAATTCTGAAGGGAAATGCAGAAACAGAAAGCCTTCCTCTAGGGGATGAACCCTTGATTTGGACTTCCAGCCTCCTATTCGGTAAGAGAAGTCGCCCCCTTGTGATATCTGTTGTGGCCACACTTGAGAACCAAGACACACGACAAGGTTGGCCGCTGACCATGGCTGGCCGCTGACGGACGCTCCTCCCTGCGCTCCCCAGCTCTCCACCTAGTTAGAGGGTCTCGGCGTCCTTGCGTGCTCCATCTCTTCCCTAGCATGCCCTGGCCTCCTCTTCCTCCTTCTCCAAATCCAAGCCCAAGCTTCACTTCCTCAGGAGAACCTCCCTGACCTCAGGCTCTTGTGCACCACCTGCTCAGTCGGCCAGGGCAGACACATCATAAGAGAAATAAGATACACCGCACCTTCTGGACAAGAAAACGAGAGATCCTTCCCGACTCTGCGCCACCTTCACCACTCCGCTGTGCTTATACCACTAGAGAGTGAAGATTTTGCCCCTGGGTCAGAACTGACTCACAGCTGACCCCCAGCGGGTGTCCAAAGCTCCACAGCACAAGGGAGGAAGGAGACTGACCACCTTCTGCCCTGGGAGCTGCCGGTGCGTTCAAACCAGCAGAGTTCCCTTTAAGACCACCGAGACTGGAACTCTGAGTCCGAGTGATGTTAAGTAGTGGTGGCAGGCAAGACTTTGAGGGTCAGAAGAGAGAGGAAGGCGAGGTAAGTGAGCTTGGGGGGAGAAAACAGGATGTGACGACCACAGGGAAGAAAAATAACTGAGTGCAGCAAATCCTTCGGGCCTGAGATCTCTGCAGGGATCCAAGAGGGAGAGGCGTGCTACCAGAAAGAACAGGAGCAGAGGTGAAGGAGAATCAGGGACCAGCGGGACAGAGCGGTGGGTTCCCAGGCCATGGAGCAAGAGAGGCGAGTGCTGGCGAGCAGAGGAGCTGGCTCAGCCAGGGCAGTGAGGTCGGCTGGCCCACGGCGCCAGAGCCCAGCTCCCTCAGAGGCCCGGGTTTACCAGAAGAAAGAGTGGGGGCTGTTAATCATAGGGGTACACAATGTGATGGGAGGGAGGGGAAGGAAATGAGAAAGATCCAGTGTGAAAAACAATGTATTCTATCTTTGTAAAATAAATCAGTGTGTTAAAAAAAAAAATTAAAAATACCCTAAACAATAGAGGATGGCAAAGCAAAAAGGGCTTTTGAAGAACGTGGCTTCCGACTGGAGGACAACTCATCAACAAGCCGGGTTACGCAGCTGACACCAGCTTGCTGGCAGAAAAGGGAAGAGCACTTAAAGCAATTGCTGCAGAAGATCAAAGACTACAGCCTTCAATACGGGTTACATCTGAGCATCAAGGAAACAAAAGGCCTCGTCACTGGACCAGCAGGCATGTTGGAGGAACACTGAAACTGTCACCGATTTCATTTTACTGGGATCTATAATCAACATATAGAGTAGCAAAAATAACTAACTAACTAAACCCCTTGCATTGGGGAAACCTGCTGTCAAGGACCTTTCCAAACATCTAAAGAGGAAGGATGTCAGTTTAAAGAGGAAGGTGCATCTGATCCAAGCCATGGTATTTCCAATTGCTTCCAATGCATCGGAAAGTCAGACAATGAGTAAGTTTGACAGAAAGAGAATCGATGCGGATTGAAAAACAAAAACAAAAAAAACCCCAAACCAATCTGTCCTGCAGAAGTGCAGCCAGGGTGCTCCCGGGAGGTAAGGAGGGTGAAACTTGGTCTCCCACACTCTGGGCATCATGTCAGGAGGGGCCAGTCCTTAGGAAAAGACACCATGCGGGGAAAGGCAGGAGGTCAGAGGAAGAAAAGACGACCGACTGAATCCAAGTCAACTTCATGGCCCCTCACGACAACACAATGACATAAATGAGAGAGAGCAGTAGAGGGCCCAAAGCTCTGAGAAGAAGCCACCTGACTGATTAACTGTATTCTGGTTGTTTCCAACCTGAACTGTACGTATCCTGCTACTTCCCTAACCAAATTCACCAGCCTGAGTGCTGTGTGGTCACTGAAATGAATCAAACCCAATAAAAAATCCATAAAAAGCCTTCAGAGGGGCAGCTGGTGCAGGAACTGACAGAAGAAGGTGTGGAGGGTGAGGGGACTGCCTGCATGCGGCAGAAGCTGCTGGCGGGGATCCCACCGCCGCCTGCTGGAGTCAGGCGGGTCAGAGGCCATCCCCACACCCACTGCACTGTTTTTACAACCGCTGGCCCGGCGCCGGGGGCCTTTTGTCCGTATCTGTGCAGGAAACGTCCTCCCGATCATCGCCTGCATAGAACAACCCGTCCGTGAAGAGACTGCTGAGCTGTGTTTTGACGGATGGAAAACAGTTGTGGATGCACAGACAGGGTTGGTGGGGGTGCAGGGCAGGCTTCCCAAACCCTCCAGAGTAGGAACGGGGAAAAGTCAAGTGTCCGAGCAGCCTGCTTCTGGAAATTTACAAGGGAGAAAGTGGGGAGGTCCCAGGGAAGTCCCGGGGGGCTGCTACTTCTTGTGATTTAAGAATGGACAAATCTTTGGAAAACTATCTTTGTAAGCCTCCCCCATTTTAAGACTGGGCTAAACGGTCCCCTGATGGAACCAGAAAGCTAATTCTTCTCTGTTGGTGAGTCTCAACGTCTTCGGGCTGCTAAAAGCATCTTCTACCTCCTTCTGACCTCCGATGCCTTAACTCCCTTCCACACCAATACCTGCCCCCGGTCTTCGAGTTTCTCTGCCTGGTCCATCCCCCTCCAATGGCTCTCCAAACAGCTGCCACTCATCTCTTGACAACGTCAACAAGCAGGCAGGGTGACACTTTGTAATCTGAGTCCCTCAGACAGCTCCGGATGAAAAGCCCATGCACAGGGTGACACTTTGTAATCTGAGTCCCTCAGACAGCTCCGGATGAAAAGCCCACACACGGGGCTCCCCTATGGCACCACAAAACAGAAACCGAGCATCGTCTGGGAATGGGATGCCTACAATCCTTAGGAGCTCTGGTGGCTTACTGTGTTAGGAGTTGTGCCACCAAGTCAAAGGCAGGTGGTTCGAGTCCACCAGCTGTTCCATGGGAGAAAGCTGGGCTATCTCCTCCCGTGCGATTTACTGCCTCTGAAAACCTGCCGGAGGGTCAGCTGTGAGTTGGTCTGGCACACGGCAATAATAGCATGATGCCTGATTTCTGGAAATGGATCACCAGGACTTTCTTCCTTGTCTGACTCAACTAGGAAGCTCCGTGCTGTGTGTTCAACATCACAGCAACATACACTCTTCCCCTAGGGACCGTGCAAGTTGTAATGGCTGGGAATCGAACCCTGGTCTCCAGCACAGAGGAGAATTCTACCATCAACTGTCTGACTGACTAGAGACTAGGCCTTGAGTCAAGGTCATAGCTGAAGCAGAGCTGGGGTACCACCCAATATACCCCACCTCACTTCCCATTCCCTCCTCCACTCACCGATCACCCGGAGCCAGGTCACACCCCGGATGGTGCCATTGGGGAAGGTGGCAAAGTCGCAGGTGTAGTTGCCTTCGTCCCCGACCCTCAGTCCCTTAAAGGCCAGCGTGGCGTCCTGCAGATTTGCCCCGGAACCCTTCCCGATGGAGACAAAGGACAGTCGCTCCTGGCCTGGCTTCAGGCTGGGGAAGCTGGGGCCGTAGGCAGGGTGGAAGACGGCCACGTTCGGGGTGCCCCCTGCTGCGTCCAGTCGCTGCCACGTCACCTGGGAGATGCGCACGTTGTTGGATGGTGACAACAGTTGGCAGGGCAGCTCCACGGTGTTTCCCAGGACGCCCCGGACCTCGGGCAGCACGTGGACACGGACATCCTGGGCTCCTGGGGAGAGAGAAGGAGAGGTGAGACAGGGCACAAGAGGGGACGTCACTGAGGCAGCCTCACAGGAAATACAGAATTCCAACCCTAAAACAGGACTGGAGACACTGTGGGGAGACATAATACAGTGAATTATCTATCAGATCCGACTGGCACAGGAGGAGATTGCCCCTCCTTCTCCAGCAGAGCATTTGGTGGATTCGAACCACGTGCCTTTGTGATTGCAACACAGCTTCTTTCCACTAGGCCACCAGAGCTCCCCATCTGTGGCTTTTGTAGCTATAGGGTGCTCTCTGGTGGCGCAGTTTGTACAAAGCTGTGTTACTAACCCAAATGCAGTAACCTTCTGGTAGTCTGAATCCACCAGGTGCTCTTCAGGAGAAAGACGATCTATCTCCTCGCATGTGACAGGAGGCCCTGGAAACTCACGGGAGGGTCGGCCACACGTCAGTGTAACCACCACCACACACTCCCTCACTGTCTCACCTTTGGTCTCAAACCATAAGAAGAGAAAACCACATTATCCTCAAGTGAATTCAGTCTCAGCGACCCCAAAGGGCAGAGAACCGCCTCACAGGGTTTCCAAGGCTGGTGGGGTTTCCCCCCCCCAAAAAAAACCATTTATTCATTTGCCTTCCATAGTTTTAAGTATTATCTTTTTTTTTCTTTCACATCCGATGGGTAATGTGCCCAGGTCCTAACAAGGTTTACAAGTGGCACATGTCATATGAAAGCATGAACACCCCCAATCATCTTGCTCATGACCAGGAAAAGGATCTCAAATAGTACCATTTTAAAGTTTATGTAAGTATCATATAAAAAAAAGACTACTATAACGTTGTTAAGTATTTTTTGGGAAAGGATTGCCCCGTTTTCCTCTGGTGGAGCAGACAGGAGGTTTGAACCTCTGACCTCTGGTTAGCAGCTGGGTGCTTAATCACTGAACGACCCAGGGGTCCCTCTCAGCGACACACCTTAGAGGTAACAGTCATTATTTTGAGCGGATCTGATACTGAGGTGACCTCGGGGTGGTTTCGGTTCAGAGTTTGACAACTTCTCTCCTCTCACTCAGTCCTGTATTTCTGGTTTTTGTGGGTTTTTTGTTTTGTTTTGTTTGCTTTTAGGAATTTAAGCGAAAGCAACCTTTTGGCTGCAAGCCAAGCAAAAATTGGTCTGTAGGGACCTCTACATTAGTTATATATAGAACTCTTGTTCCTTTTCTAAGATGTGGTCATTAAACTCAGTTCTTGGAGCATGCCTTTCCTTTAGAAAATAAATTTTAAAAACCTCCCATTTGCTGTTGATTGGGTCGGTCTGCCAGCGACCCGACAGGGCAGAACAGAACTGTCTCCTCAGGGTTTCCAGTCTGACTTTTCCTGAAGATGGTGTTGCAAGCTGTCGAATCAGAACTGACTCACAGATGACCCTGCAGCGGGTTTTCGGAGGCAGTTAGGTCGCACAGGAGGAGACTGCCCATCTTTCTCCCATAGAGTGGCTGATGGATTCAAATCGCCTGCTTTCAGAACTGCAGCTCAGCTTCTTACCACTGGGCCACCAGGACTTTTTCCTTAGCAGCTAGAAAGCTGATGTGAGATCTTATCTGGAGATTACTCTCAAATGATTCAAGGGACAGGAGTTTAAGAGAAGTCTCAAGGAGGTCGGCAGTTTAAATCCACCAGCCGATCCTTGCAACGAATCTCCTCCCGTAAAGATTTATTTACACCCTTGGAAACCCAATGGAGGGTGGCCGGGGAGCCTGGTTCAACTTAACAGCAGTGGCTTCGGTATGATTTGAAGGGAATAAAATTTACACACCATTCAATTCAGCCCTTTAAAGCAGCTTTCAGTATCTCCACGGAGTTTGCAATGATCACCATGGTCAATTTCGGTACACTTTCATCACCTCAGTGAAAACCCAGTGCCCCTTCAACACTCACTCCCAGTACCTCATCCACCCCGGGTCCTTGTTTTTTACTGTGTGCAGTGGAGCCGTCAGTGACCCACAGTGACCTTGTAGGACAGAGGTCACTAACTGCCCCATAGACTTTGCAAGCCTGCACATCCTCAGGCAAGCAGAGTGCCTCAGTTTCCCCCTTAAGCATCAGGCGAGCCTGAACTGGTGTCAGTGGCTGGGTGCTTCAGCCACGGCATGACCAAGATGCTTCTCATCCTGCCGCTTAAAAGAAAAACAAGCCCAAGAGCCAATCTGCTCTGACGCACAGCATCCTCACCTGTTTTTTATTATGGTCATTGTTAACTGTCTAACCTCATGCCATAAAAAAGGAAAAAAATACACTCGCTGTCCTCGAGCTGAGTCCAACTCACAGCCACCCTGCAGGACTGAGAACTGACCCGCAAGGTTTCCCAAGCTGGAAATCTTTATGCAGACTGCCTCACCGCTCTCACCTGGAGCCACTGCTGGAACTGAACCACCCACCTTTCAGCTAGGTTCTCAGCTCTTTAACCAGCTGTGCCACCAGGGCCCCTTCCTTCTCTCTACCTCACAGCTGACACTCGAGTGGGTTTTCAGAGGCTAACAATCACATGGAAGGAGACTGCATTTTTCTCTTAGAGGTGCTGGTGTATTTGAACCACCAGCTTGAGGTTAGCAGTGCAACTCCCTATAGAATAAGCCACCCTCTCCCTAGGCTCTGGTGGCCTTGGGGTAAGAGGAGGGTCAGTAACGGGTTGCTTCCAACAAGATAGCAAACAACAATTGCTGCATTAACAACTATTTTTAACAGTCAGGCCGGTGAACACAACCTAGATGCCCTTCAGTTGATGAATGGGTGAATAGAAAGGTAATATACAGCCACACAGTAAAATATTACACAGCCATGTAAAGAAATGAAGTACTGGTCTGAGGGAAGCTGAATATCAAATTTAATATTTTAGCCTAGCAGCAAGACGCTGCACTGCAATCTCAGAGGTATGCTGTTCAAATCCACCAGATGCTCTGCTGGAGAAGGAGGGAGCAATCTCCTCCTGTACCAGTCAGATCTGATTTGACGGTACATGTAAAAAAATAATGCAATAAAAATGTAAAAAAAAAATCATAAAAAATTTAATATTTTAATAGTAGGCCAAAAGATCTATCAAGTTATGAGGGAGGCTTAATACAAGCTGAAGGTCACCCTGTGGCACTAAGGCATTCCCTAAGAGTCAACATTGTTCTTTCTATTAACTGAATCCCTCCCTCCTGAGATAAGCATAAAGATGAACTTGGCCTTATCTGCTAAAGATTTCCCCATGATCCCTTGTTTTCGTTTTATACTTCTTATGATTTTACTTTGTTTACCTTCCTTATGATTCTCAATAAATACTCAGAGAGGCATGGTTTGAGGCCTTCAGTCATGGGACTGCTGACCCCATTTTTGGGGGGTTTGTTTTTTTAATTAGTATTTTGTGTGTGTACCGTCAAATCGGATCTGACTGGTACAGGAGGAGACTGCCCCTCCTTCTCCAGCAGAGCATCAGGTGGATTTGAACCATGGACCTCTGGGACTGCAGTGCAGCTTCTTGCCACTGGAGCTCCCTTGGCCCCCTGTTTTTTATGCTTTCTATCTCATTCCTGGTTGTCTGTCTCATTATTAATAATTATAAAAATACTTAACCCTCAGTCTGCAACACTGGTCCATCTGACAAGGAAGTTGAGCTTCCAACGTGCTAATGACCAAACTCAGTCACAGAAGGCCCCGTGGTGTGAGAATCTGCTTATGTGAAATGTGCAGTGTAGGCAGATCTTTCGAGAGAGGAAGTTCCTCAGCAGAATGGATTTGACATGATTTATGACAACGGGCTTAAGCACGATGGAGATCAGGAAGCTGCAGGAGAGGGCACTGTTCAGGATGCTGTTCTTAGGGTAGCTGCAAATCGTAGTCAGCTCACTGGCCAGGAACAACATAGAGACGGGAGGTAGGTTAGTAGCAGCCTTGGGACTTGTTGTTGTTGAGTACCATTTAGTTGGAACCGACCCATAGCTGATCCTGCAACAGGCTTTCAGAGGCAGTTAATCACATGGGAGGAGACTGCCCATCCTTCTCCCACAGAACAGCTGGTGGATTTGAACCCAGCGCCTTTGGTACTGCAGCGCCACTTCTGACCACTAAGCCAAGGCCGCTAGCTACACACGGGGAGCTCTGATGGTGTAGTGGGTGAGGAATTTGGTAGCCAACCCAAAACCACGTGAATCCATCAGCTGTGCCTTGGTTTCAATTTGACGGTAATTAGTTTGTGAAGGTTTTTCTTATTACGCATTCTCATACGAGTCTCGGTGAGTGCACGTTTTCATCTTCCAGGTTATCGTTTATTTCCTTACTTCTAATAAAATCAGGAGTAAAGAGGAATGTTTCCCTGTCCCTCAAAGAAGTCCAGCACGGAGACAATCAGAGCACAGGCTGCCAGAGTTCAAATCCAGGCTAGGGTACTTACCGGCAAAACTCAAAAGGCATCAATTCTTCCTCTATCATCCTTAGTCATTGTCCAGCTCTCTGATGCACAGAAAGTAATTGCAAAAACCATGGCACAGACACCTCAGTCACTAGACTGACATGATTGCTCTTCAGTACTCTGCAGAGGTCTCTGACAGCAGATTTTCCCAATGCAATTTGTCTTCTGATTTCCTGGCTGCTGATACCAAGATTGTGGGAACCAAGCAAACTGAAGCTGTTAATAATATTAATAATATTAATCTCGTCTCCATCTATCATGATGCTGTCAATTGGCCCAGTGGTAAAAATCTTTGTTTTCTTGCTGTTGAGCTTCAATCCATATTAAAAGTTGCAATCTTTCACCTTGTACAGCAAACGCTTCAGGTCCTCCTCAGTTTCAGCAAGCAGGGTTGTGTCATCTGCATAACACAGATTGTTAATGAGTCTTCCTCCAATCCTGATGCCAGATTCCTCATCAAGTCCAGCCTCTGTTCTGCATCTAGATTGAAAAAGGTATGGAGATAGGATGCATCCCTGATGCACAACTTTCCTGATCCTGAACTATGCAGTGTT